TTTTTTTTTTTTTTTTTCCTTGAAAAAAAACAAAAAGCAAGCTCCCACCTGTCCATGCTGCCCAAGGCCATTTCTATCTGTTTACATGAGGAAACCTGCTCACAAACCTGGCTTTTGCCCTGCTAGAAGAGAGATGCTCCTTGTCGTCTTGCCAGGCTCTGGAAGAAGCATCACAAGCCACCTCCTGGTTGAGGACCCATTAAGTGCCACCCTGTAGTCTGTGGACTAATCCAAGCTTTACTAACTCAGTGTGCCACGAATCCTTATGTGAAATAAATTAAAGGTGAGGTTTTGAAGGATGTAGGAAGATAACGGCAAGTGTGTGCTGGGGTTTGTCAGCTGAGGGTAATGCAGTGGAATTGGCTCTTGACCCAGGGGACCCAGAGGGGTGCATGGGGAGGGAACAGAGCAGCGAAACTTCGTGCCTGTCAGAAAGGTTTCCAATTCCCATTCGTGCCTCGATGGTCTGCGTGCCAGCATTTGTGAGGGCTTTCTTCTTTGTCATAAAGCGTATGTTCAGGTTACTTCTTATCTGGCTAGGCAGGCCGCCTGACTCTTTCTTGTCTGCAGAAAAAATTACACTTTCCAGTTGGTTCTGTGTCTCAGATCTTCTCGTGGCATGCTTTGTACGCATCGGGGTAGCCGGGGGGGTTTGGACACTCTGTTTGATTGAAGGCTCTGCATTGCTGAGCAGGGCAATGTCTCTGTGGATTCCCTTTGTGGACTGCCGAGACAAGCATACAAGAAAGAAGCGTAGCCTGGAAGCAGCAAAATTCTCAATTATCTTGAGCTTTAATCTCTTGAGAGGAAAAATAAGCTGTTAGGAAGTATCAGATCCCTTCGGAAGGTCTGGATTATTTTTAATGTCCCTCCTGTACCTTCCCGTTTGTATGTAACGATGCCTAATGATCCATTCCCTATGTTGGCCAAATGTGATCACAGTGTGTGTTAGTAAATTCCTGGATAATAAACCCTTCAGAAGGAGAGCTTGATTGCCTGCATAGACAGCAGTAGCTGCAAGCCCCCTGCTTGCAGGGGGTTGGGGATGTGATGCTTCTGGACTAAGACTGATGGCAAGAGTGGCAGAGAGGAGGTAATTTTTGTATGCAGCAGGCTTACCAACTTCTGAAAAACAAGGACTGTGGTCGAAAAAATCTTTGGCGCAAGACCAGCGTGTTAGAAAAAAGCTTTCACTTCTGGTCCTTATCACAAAAAAGGTGTTTAGAAGCCTCTGCTAGACCTTGAGCACATCGATATATGCATATATTACACCGCGTTTATCGTGAGTGACTGGTGTGCTAGGTCATGCTTAATTACTCACCTTGGTTCAGGGATCTGTGCATCCATTTATCCATACATCAAGCACGCAGGAAGCCAGTTTATCAGTTTTTTGATGTATAATGATGGCAAACCATTACCAATAGAGAGTGTTTCACTGGGCATATTTGCAGGATGGTTTTTGCAATAGTGGCTCTTCACTGCTAACCAAGTATAACGCTCCTGAGGGAAAATTCTCAGGAAGGGAGGTGGTGGGGGGTGCATTTGCAGGGACAGTAGCGTCCTCTTGCCCCTGCTTTTTGGGGCTAATAAATGTATTCAGCTTTCTGCATGGTGATGTGACTGTACAGCAATGGTGAGTGTGAATTTAGGATGGCTTTGGTGTTCCACATTGACATTGCAGCACCCAGGAGGATCAACAGGGATGTAATGAAGTTTCAGACTGGATATAAGGAAGAGCTTTTTTGTGCCGAGGGTGGTGAGGCACTGACATGGGTTACCCAGCGAGGTGGGAGATGCCCCATCCCTGGGAACATCCAAGGTCAGGTTGCATGAGGCTTTGAGCAACCTGCTCTAGCTTCCCTGATTTTTAATTCGTATTTAGCATGTAAAACTCTAGCGAGGGAGCTCTTGGGCTCTTTGAATGGGAGGCACTGGGAAGTGGTAAACAACCAGCTTGTTCATGAATACCTCTCTGGTTTCGTGTATGGGTGTTTTTCTTGAGTTGTAATTACCAGGCAGAGTCCTAAATTGTTCTGCTTCTTACCTCTTCTCGCCCTGATAATTTTTTCTATATTTTTCGTCTCTCCTGAGAACTCTATCTTTAATGGTTAATTTAAAGGAAACCTCTTGAGTATTATAATGTGTATTCTGATTAGTACACCTAATTGCAAAGAGTACATCACTTTAAAAGAAAATGAATGAGGCCGTGTTTTCCAGCTCGGTTTCATTTTTTTGAGCACAAGGAATTGTGAGTACAGCCAGTGGCAATGTCATACCTGGTATTTGGACAAATTTAGAAAATTGGTTTTGCCTTTAAGTGTACAGCCTATTTGTCTCCATAGATTTAAGCACGGACGGAAGAGTGTTCGTGTAAAGCCAGGTTTTAAAAATCTCAGTTGCCATGTTACTGCATATTTTATATTGGGTAAGAAACACCAGTGAGGATGCATTGGGCTGGAGGAAGAATGTGCTTTATTCACTCGTGTGGGGAGTCAGAGATAGTCAAAGCGGTTTTGTTAAATTCATTTTCTTTAATTTGCTAATGGCTTCACAGTGTTTAAATTGGTTTAACGATGTTTAAATTGACCGACTCTGGTAGTTTAAAGTAAACATTTTTCCTAATGTCTTTATAATCTTTGTGGGGTGTTTATTTTTCTAAAGTGATCTGCCTTCCTTTTAATCCTCTTCTATATGGCTGGTTGCAAGGTCTTTCTTGAAAAGAGATATTAAAAATGAGTTTTCTCTTTGGGAGTTTTCATAAGATAACGGGAAATGGCCCAGGGACGGGTACCCAGGGAAGCTGTTACAAACAACTGTTAAAAAATTGTCAACAGCTTTGATACCCTCAACGTACATTTATTTTTCAAGTATCTATCCATTATATTAACATATAATGGTCCACTATAATGGAAGCTGTAATGGTCCACTTGGATTCTCCTCCCAGTCTGTTGGGATGCAAGGTGGGTAATTGCCCTGACCTTCTCCTTTTCCAGTTTAGCCCTGATTCAGCAGCTGGAAAAGCCAAATTTCTGCTTTTACACCACTCTTTGTTGGCCTGACACGTTTTTCAAGCAGACATGACTGCAGGACTGAGCCTTGTTCCAGAAAATGATGCAGATTTTTGCACAAAGACCTGTGGTCTGTACGTGAAACTTCCGTGGGTGCTAGAGGCAAGGTAGAAGAAGAAAAGACATTAAACTTATATCAATTCCAAAGTAAAAGGGTAGGTCCTCAGAATTACATCTAAAACCCATCAGCTACCCTGACCCAACTCACCCTGCAGGGACTCATGCTTTACCAGGACTCTGGGGTGCTTTACCAGGCTACTGAAAGGAAATTGGTAAGGGAGTTGTTTATAATTAAAAACTAAGGTCCTTGCTGTTTCTTTTATCTCTTTTGAAAGTGGGAAGGAAAATAATTTCCTTCCCCCTGCTGAGTGATAAACTGTTTTGCGTGAAATACGTTGGCTCTGTAGCAGAGCTCTCCCTATCACCATCGGAAGACCCGAGCAAGCTGGCAGGGCATCGTCTTCGCCAGGCCCGATCCCTGCTGTCGTTCCAGTTCAGGCAAAGCCTTCTCAAATAAATAAGCATTTTGTTGAGCTTGATAAATGCATAATGTTCTCAGAATAGCTACTGAGCTCCATTATTTGTGTCCAGTCTTCCTCCAAAAGCGTCCACCTGTGGAGTTGAATATGGGTTGGGCAGACTCTCTGTATCTTATTTTCATCCACATTAACTTTCTGCTGCTTGGAGCTTGTGTTTTGGTGTGGACAGGGGAATGTTCCCAAGTGCTTCAAGGCAGCATAAGCTGTCGTTGCCACTAACAGATGCAGCTCCTGTCACTATCCCCAACATAATATTTCTTCTACTTCTTTTCTTGCACCAGAAAAAAAAGCCTCTGTGCAGCATGTGGCAGGCTCATTCGGGGAGCTGAGCCAGCGGAAGAATAAGCTCAGCACAAAAAGCTGATTTTTTTGGCTGGATGAGCTCCCTGACAGGGCTCACCATGCAACTCCCTGAACGTGAGTTGGTAGGGAGGGAGCTAAGCTGCCCCTGCTCGTACTTGCCGATGTAGCCTGGAATGGCTGCCGAGATAACTTGACAAAGTAATTTTATCTGCTTCCAGAATTCATCTTGTAGTGAGCTGGGTACAGCCTGTTGCAACGTGTATAGAGCATTTTTAGATTCTTAGTCAGATGTTCTCTAGAGAGATGCTATTTCCATCTTTATCCACCTGCTACCAAATGGTTTGCCAACATAAGATGATTTTAAGGACGTAAAGCTGAAAAAAATCGCCCTCCTCTCCTCCCAGGAGCAAACAAGGAATCCAGAGTTTTCATATAACAAACAGGCCAGTGCTGGAAGACATCATAAGAAAAGTGCATGCTAAATACCCCTAAGCCCATCTGTCCCCAAAACTGCTGAGAGCAGATGAGGGTTTTTCATCCTTTGGGATCTAAACAAGGATCATCGAGGGGTTTTT